GAAAGGCCGCGATTGTTTTCCTCGCGATTTCCTCAATCCTCGACCGATCAGAAAATTTCAAAATGAATCTGAACGAGAAAAGAATGCCATCAAAACAGTGTAATTTATGTGGGCGATGCGCCCGCCATTAAGAGAGTTACAGACAGAGGAAGACCTAAAGCCAATTTGATTACTCCAGTGAGGCTCCCATTGTTTCCCTCAGAACTTCCTTATTTCGCATCTAAATCTAAAAATTCAAGCCACTTTTCAAAGAAGAGGGAACAGTCCTCAAAATGCGCTCAAAATTATTTTGGGGTCTCCTGCAACTCACGAGGCGTGAGGCGAAATAATCTGAAGAACCAATTATTTCACTCTGGTAAGGCCGCGATTATTTTCCTCGCGATTTCCTCAATCCTCCACCGATCAGAAAATTTCAAAATGACTCTGAACGAGAAAAGAATGCCCAACAAAACAGTGTAATTTATGTGGGCGATGCGCCCTCCATTAAGAGAGTTACAGACAGAGGAAGACCTAAAGCCAATTTGATTACTCCAGTGAGGCTCCCATTGTTTCCCTCACAACTTCCTTATTTCGCATCCAAATCTAAAAATTCAAGCCACTTTTCAAAGAAGAGGGAACAGTCCTCAAAATGTACTCTCAATCATTTTGGGGTCTCCTGCAACTAACGAGGCGTGAGGCGGAATAATCTGAAGAACCAATTATTTCACTCTGGTAAGGTCGCGATTATTTTCCTCGCGATTTTCTCAATCCTCCACCGATCAGAAAATTTCAAAATGACTTTGAACGAGAAAAGAATGCCTCTTAAAAGAGTGTAATTGGTGTGGGCAATGGGCCCACAACTAAGAGAGTTACAGACGGAGGAAGACCTAAAGCCAATTTGATTACTCCAGTGAGGCTCCCATTGTTTTCCTCACAACTTCTTTATTTCTCAACCAAATCTAAAAATTCAAGCCACTTTTCAAAGAAGAGGGAACAGTCCTCAAAATGTGCTCACAAGCATTTCGGGGTCTCCTGCAACTAACGAGGTGTGAGGCGAAATAGTCTGAAGAACCAATTATTTCACTCTGGTAAGGCCGCGATTATTTTCCTCGCGATTTCCTCAATCCTCCACCGATCAGAAAATTTCAAAATGACTGAACGAGAAAAGAATACCCAACAAAACGGTGTAATTTATGTGGGCGATGCGTCCGCAATTAAGAGAGTTACAGACAGAGGAAGACTTAAAGCCAATTTGATTACTCCAGTGAGGCTCTCATTGCTTCCCTCACAACTGTTTTATTTCGCATACAAACCTGAAAAATCAACCAACTTTTCAAAGAATAGGGAACAGTCCTCAAAATGTGCTCATAACCATTTTGGGTTCTCTTGCAACTAAGGAGGCGTGACGCGAAATAATCGGAAGAGCCAATTATTTCACTCTGGTAAGGCCGCGACTGTTTCCCTCATAACGTCCTCAGTTCATCATCAATCTCAAAAATGTCAAAAACGCCTTAAAACAGAAAAACCAGTCTTCAAACGGTCTTCATGAAAGTTCCCCGCCGGCCCACAATTCAGAGAGTAAGAGGCGGAGGAAACTGAAAAGCCAACTGCCCATCGGCTAAGTTGAGTGAGGGCTTTCAACTTATTCGCTCACAACTTCCTTATTTCACCACGGATTTTCAAAATTCAAAATTGCTTTAAAGAACAGCAAACCATAGATATTTACTCTATGAGAAAATTGGTGAGTGACAAACCAAAATAACTCAATCGAACGCCAAAGAAAACCCCGCTGAAAAATAAGCGAACAAACCAAAAAAACCACTTGACTTAGCACCAAGTTCTACTCTTTCAGACCGATTTTGTGAGTAAAACTGGTCACTTTAGAGACGACTGAACTCGACCAGAACAG